AGCATACAGATCTCTTATATCTTTGGTTTATTTCTAGGTATTTTATGGTTTTTGTGCAATTGTAAATGAGATCATTTTATTTCTCTTTTGTTCCTTCATTATTGGTGTATAGAAATGCAACTGATTTCTGTACATTGATTTTGTACCCTGTGACGTGGCTGAATTCATGTATCAATTCTAGCAGCCTTTTGGTGGAGTCTTTCAGGTTTTACATGTAGAATATCACATCGTCTGCAAAAAGTCAAAGTTTGACGACTTCTTTGCTGACTTGGATGCCTTTTATTTCCTTTTGTTGTCTGATTGCTGAGGCTAAGACTTCTAACACTATGTTAAACAACAGTGATGAGAGTGGACATCTTGCCATGTTCCTGATCTCAGGGGGAAAGCTCTCAGTTTCTCCCCACTGAGGATGATACTAGCTGTGGGCTCTTCATATATGGCTTTTATGATGTTTAGGTATGTTCCTTTTATCCTGACTTTCTTGAGGGTTTTTGATAAGAAAGATGCTTTATTTTGTTAAAGCATTTTCTCCAACTACTGACAGGATCATATGGTTCTTATCCTTTATTAGTGTGATGTATCACATTAATTGATTTAAGGATATTGAACCATCTCTGTAGCCCAGGAATTAATCCTACTTGATCATGGTGAAAAATTATTTATAGGCTGTTGAATTTGATTTCCTAGTATCTTGTTAGGAATTTCTGCATCCATGTTCATCAGGGATATTGGCCTATAATTCTTTTTTCTGTCTGGTTTGGGAATCATGGTAATGCTGGCTTCATATAACGAGTCTGAAAGTTTTCCTTCCACTTCTATTTTTTGGAACAGCTTGAGAAGGATAGGTATTATCTCTGCTTTAAATGTCTGGTAGAGTTCCCCTGGGAAACCATCTGGCCCAGGGCTCTTATTGTTGGGAGATCTTTGATAACTGATTCAATTTCTTCGCTGAAGAAATTTCTTCAATTTCCTCAATTGTCTGTTCCAATTTTCTATTTCTTCTCATTTGAGTTTCGAGGGTGTGTAGATGTCTAGGAATTTGTCCATTTCTTTCAGCTTGGTCAGTTTCTTGGCATATAATTTTTCATAGTATTCTCTGATAATTCCTTGTATTTCTGAGGGACTGGCTGTGATAAATCCATTTTCCTTCATCTTATCTATTTGGTTCATCTCTTCTTTTTGAGAAGTCTGCTAGGAGCTTATCAACTTTGTTAATTTTTTTTTAAAAAACCAGCTCTCAATTTCATTGATCTGTTCTACTGATTTTTGTTTTGTTTTTCAAATAGTTTATTGTCAAGTTGGTTAACATATAACACCCAGTGCTCATCCCCACAAGTGCCCTCCTCCATGCCCATCTCCCCCCTCCTCCCTACATCCATCAGACCTCAGTTTTTGTCAGCATTCAAGAGTCTCTCATGGTTTGCTTCTCTCCCTTTCCCCCACCATTTCCCACCTTCTTCTCCCCCATGGTCCTCCGTTAAGTTCCTCCTATACGTGCAAACATATGATATTTGTCCTTCTCTGCCTGACTTATTTCGCTCAGCATAACACCCTCAAGGTCCATCCATGTTGCTACACATGGCCAGATTTTATTGTTTCTCATTGTCATGTAGTATTCCATCGTATAGATAAACCACATCTTCTTGATCCATTCGTCCGCTGATGGACACTTAGGCTCTTTCCATGTTTTACCTATTGTTGAGAGTGCTGCTATGAACTGTTCTACTGATTTTTGGATTCTATATTGTTTCTTTCTGCTCTGACCTTTATTATTTCTCTTCTTTTGCTGGCCTTGGGGTTTCTTTGTTGTTCTCCTTCTGGTTCCTTTAAGTGTGTTATTAGATTTTGTATTTGGGATTTTTCTTGTTTGAGATAGGCCGGATTGCAATGTATTTTCCTCTCAGGATTGCCTTTGCTGCATCCCAAAGCGTTTGAACTGTTGTGTTTTCATTTTCATTTGACTCCATATATTTTTTTAATGTTTTCCTTAATTGCCTGGTTGACCCATTCATTCTTTAATAGGATGTTCTTTAATCTCCAAGCATTTGGAGGTTTTCCAAACTTTTTCTTGTGTTTGATTTCAAGTTTTATAGCACTGTGATCTGAAAGAGTGCATATTATGATCACAATTCTTTTATACTTACTGAGGGCTGTTTTGTGACCCAGTATGTGATCTATCTTGGAGAATTTTCCAAGTGCAGTCGAGAAGAATGTGTATTCTGCTGCTGTAGGATCGAAAGTTCTGAATATACCTGTCAAGTCCATCTGGTCCAGTGTATCATTCAGGGCCATTGTCTCTACTGATTTTCTGTCTGGATGATCTGTCCGTTGCTGTATTAAAGTCCCCTGCAATTATCACATTCTTATCAATAAGATTGCTTATGTTTGTGGTTGTTTTATATATTTGGGTGCTCCTGAATCTATGCATAAACATTTATAATTGTTACCTCTTCTTGATGGATAGACTCCGTAATTATTATAATGCCCTTCTTCATCTCTTTTTATAGCCTTTAAAATCTAGTTTATCTGATAGAAGTATGGCTACTTCAGCTTTCTTTTGACTTCCAGTAGCACGATAGATAGTTCTCCATCCCCTCACTTTCAATCTGAAGGTGTCCTGTGGTCTACAATGGGTCTCCTGTAGACAGCAAATAGATGGGTCTTGTTTTTTTTTTTATCCATTCTGATACCCCACGTCTTTTGATTGGAGCATTTAGTCCATTTACATTCAGTATTATTAATGAGAGATATGGATTTAGAGTCATTGTGTTATCTAGGTTTCATGCTTGTAGTGATGTCTCTGGTCTTTTGCAACATTCCACTCACAGAGTCCTCCTTAGGATCTCTTGTAGGGCTGAGTAAGAGATAATAAATTCCTTCAGTTTTTGTTTGCGAGAGCTTTTATCTCTTCTTCTACTGAATGGCAGGCTTGCTGGATAAAGAACTCTTGGCTGTATATTTTTCCTATTTAGCACACTGAAAATTTCCTGCCACTCCATACTGGCCCGCCAAGTTTCAGTGGACACACAACCCTTGCAGGTTGAGGCCCATTTGTCCCTAGCTGTTTTCAGAATTCTCTCTTTATCTTTGTATTTTGCCAGTTTCACTATGATAATTTGCGCAGAAAATCGATTCAAGTTACGTCTGAAGGGAGTTCTCTGTGCTTCCTGGATTTCAATTTCTGTTTCCTCCCGAGATTGGGGAAGTTCTCAGCTATGATTTGTTCAAGTACACCTTTCACCCCTTTCTCTCTCTCCTTCTTATAGAACTCCTATGATACGGATATTATTCCGTTTCATTGAATCACTTATTTCTCTAACTCTCCCCTTGTGGTCTGGAATTTTTTTTAGCTCTTATCCTCAGCTTCATCTTTTTCCATAATTTTATCTTCCATTTCACTTATTCTCCCCTCTGCCTCTTCAATCCTCGCTGTTATTGCCTTTAATTGCTGGGCTTAAAAAAGCATAGAAGACAGCAGAGAATCTATTGCAGAGCTCAAGGAACTAAGAAATAGTCTTGATGGAAAAAACGCTGTAAATAAGGTGCAAAATCAACTAATCTTATTACTATTATTCTAAATTCTTATTTAGTTACATTGTTTACATCTGTTTTGTTCAATTCTTTAGCTGTCATTTCTTCCTGGAATTTCTTTTGAGGAGAATTCTTCCATTTGGTCATTTTGGCTAGTTTTCTGTCCCTTATGTGTTCTAAAAGCTTGTTATGACTGAACCTGTGAGCACTACTATATGAAAGAGGAGTAATACACTGCCCAGGACCTGGCATTCAGGAGGTGTTTTTTTGGAGTGTGTTACATGTTCTCTGTTGTTGTGACTCTGGTTGCTTTGTCTCTCTACTCCTAGTGATGTTTTGGACCCTCCACCAGGTATGCTTTGATTTGTTCATTGAAGTAGCCCTAGAAAAGGAAACAAAGAAACAAAACAAAAAACGGGGAAAAAAACACCCAAAACACTAGCTACAAGAAAACAACGGGGTGGTGATGTTGTTGAAGGTAGAGGCCTTGTCCCATACAAAGAGATGACATGGGTGGAGAAAAAGAAAACTGATGATGAGGAAAAGAAACTACCTAGAAAGGTGGGGGTGGGGGGAATAAAGGAGATATAGAACAGGTATTAAGGAGAATAGATTAAATAAGTCTGCATACCAACAACCAGAATAACCAGACTAGAAGTAGGAAGATGTAAGAAGGAGAAAAGGAAGGAAAAAAAAATACATATATATATTTATATTAAGAATTGTCCAAGAATAAAATCAGAAAATGCAAAAACAATAGGTGCTTGGAAACAGTTGCAGTGCTGGTCTGGAGGAGGGCTGTCTGGTTTGTAAGCATCAATCCTGCTCCAGTAGATACCTAGTTACCAGGTGTGGAGGGGCATCATTTGGTGTAGGTGGGTCCCGTCTCCACTGTGGCCCCTTGTCAGTTCCCTGAGGACCCACGTTGTCAATGATGGGTAGAAAAATGGCAACACCCCAGTCTCTCTTCCACAGACAGAGTGTCCCACATCACTCTGTTCAGGTTGTCCTTGCAGTGCCACAGGCGTGAACGAAGTGGTTTGTCCCACTTTGCTGACTCCTGCACCTCCCTAGCACTAGGCTGGAATTTAAACCCCAGTGTCTTAAAGGGTTCCTCCCTGTGTGGCCCGATTCTGGGGAAGTACTGCTCTGTGCCGCTGATATATGGTCTCTGGCTGGTGAACGCAGGCAGTCTTTGTCCTTGAAGTGGCTATATACCTTCTTCCCACAGCATTCCAGGGAAGGGACTGCCTTCTCCCATTGCGGACTGTGCCTCTGAACTAGTTAAGGTGCCTGGGGCGGGCTGCACTCCTCCCCAGGTGCACAAACTGGGCAGTTGGCCCCAGTCTGGAGAAAGCTCTGCAGTTAGAGATTGGATCCTTCTCCATCCCCGGTCCATGGTTTTTTTCTTGTCCAGATACAGTCCTACACTTCCTCAGACTCTCTCTCTTCCCTTTGTCTCTCCACAGGAGATCTCTCCCATCCATGTCTACACGACCCGTTTTATTTCTCCCAGTTCACAATCATGCACCTATGGCCTGCCAGGTTGTCCCCCTGGGTCCCCAGAGTCTTTGACACTCTGCACCCCGACTCTTGGAATTCCAAGCCTTTCGGCCTCAACACTGCCATGTTTGAGGGATGAGGGAACTTTGGGTCCCCCTACTTCTCCACTATGTTGGATCTCCTAAAATGCTGAGTTTTCAATATATTATATATTTAAATTAAATAAATACTTACTTTTAATTTGTGATACAGTTGTTGAAGCTCCTTTTGAAGAACTTTATTCTCATCATGAGCCTCATATGCCCTTTTCCTTTCAGCAAGCAACTGTCGCTGGAAACTGTTGGTACTCAGCTCAAGGTTTTTGGATAGTTCCTATGATGTGTATATAAACATATAAAAAATAGTGCCTGAAAATAACTGAAGAGTAAGACACCGCACTTAGCACTAAAATAATGTTTCTAGTGGTACTAAACAAGACCTATGAATTGGGCTGGACTTAGTATTCATGAACATAAAGTAACTGGAAAACAGATCTACCAACAATTTAAGTAAAGTACTTTAACTGTTAGTCCTTTTTTTGCTTTTCACAATGATTTATAAATAAATTCTTAAGCATTTTCCTAAAGCATACAGGAATAGTCATTTAAGTTAGTTGCAAATTCAGCCGAAGATATGATGAGAAACATGGACTTTTGGGAATCAGAGTTTGGGCAAATATATACAGCTGCATAAAATTACACAGCACTTTTCAAGGTGCAGAAATTACCTTGTAAATTATTTCTAGATAAAATAATAGTCATTTCCATGGTCTTCAAACATTTTCCATAAAGTTGGCGAAAAAATTTAGGTTAAAATATTTTTTTTTTAATTTTTAATGTTTTTTATTTATTTTTGAGAGAGAGAGAGAGTGCACGAGAGAGTCAGAGAGAGAGAGAGATACAGAATCCGAAGCAGGCTCCCGGCTCTGAGCTAGCTGTCAGTACAGATCCCGACACGGGGCTCGAACCCATGAACCGTGAGATCATGACCCGAGCTGAAGTCGGACGCCTAGACGACTGAGCCACCCAGGCACCCCTAAAATATTTTCTTTTAGGTGACATCAACATCATGGTGGTATGAGCCATTCCTCTTTTCTCCACCTTTCAATTTACAGCTAATCAGATCCACAAAGCAAGCATCCATAACTGAACCGAAGCACTTCTTTACAGCACACCAGGATACCCAAGACAGTCATCCATCTCTGCGCCTGAAAGTGGGTGGAATGCACATCAGAGGAGGCTGTGCAGCCACGGCCAGTGGTGCAGGTGGCAGAGTTGGTGGCTGGCACATATGACCTTCCGGCCAGAGGCAGTGGGTAAAGGTGGTAGGTGGTGATCTGCCTGGCCACACGTGCTGCAGTTGGAGGGGCTCTGTCTCTGAGGAGAGACCACAATGCCTGTGAGGAGGGAAAGGAAAGGGAAGGTGGCAAAGAGAACTGAAAGAATGCTGTTTCCTGCTGAATGCCCCAGGAGAGATCATCTGTGAACCTCTGGGAAATACCCCCTCAACTCGAGGATCCCCTACTGGCAATGGGCACAGCCAAAGCATCAGGTGGTAAGCACACACTTCCCTCCACTCTGTCACCACACTTTTTCTTTCCAGTCTGCCAGCTGTTTTTTTTTAATTGTATGTATTTTTTCATATGCCTTTTATTTGAAAGCCCCTGATTTTCTCAGTACTGTTATATATATAGATTTTCTAGTCCCTAGGGATGGCTTAAAATCTTTAAATTTTTTTTAATGTTTATATTTGAGAAAGAGAGAGAGGGAGACAGAATCCAAAGCAAGGCCCAGGCTCTGAGCTGTCAGCAAAGAGCCTGATGCCCAGCTCCAACTCACAAACTGCAAGACCATGACCTGAGCCAAAGTTGGATGCTCAACCCACTGAGCCATCCAGGTACCCCATGGATGGCTTAAAGTCTTTAAATAGCTAAAGAACTAGAGTTCTAACTAGAACTTGAGTATAACTACATATTTAAAGATATTAAAAAGCTGTTAATTTCTTAGATGTCATTCTTGGTACTACATAATGGCATTGTTTTTTAAGATCTTTATATTTTAGAGAGATATAAGCTGAAGTATTTACGAATAAAACTGGCTATCTAAGATCTGTTTCCAAAAACTACAGAGCAGTAGGGGAGACTACATATGAAAAAATATTTTCTGTGACTTTTTAAAAGTTTTTAGTGAAGTATAGCTGACACACAATGTTACATTAGTTTCAGGTGTACAACATGATTCCACAACTCTCTACCTTATGCTGTGCTCACAACTACAACTAACATCTCACCATACAATGCTATTACACTATAATCCTTATCTGTACTTTTATTCTCATGACTTATTCATTCCACACTGGAAGGCTGTACCTCCAAATAACTCATTTTGCCCATCTTACCACCACTCTCACATCTGGCAATCATCAGTTTGATCTCTGTCTTTATGAATCTGTTTCTGCCCTCCTTAGTCCTCATCATTTATTTAACCCATCCCCTCCCCAACTCCCCTCCAGCATCCCTCGAGAGTCTGTTTTATGGTTTGCCCCCCCTTTCCACCCCCATGTTCATTTGTAAATGAAATTATTTTAATTTTGCTTTCTGCTACTTTGTTATTAGTGTATAGAAACACAACTGACTTCTGCATATTAATTTCGTATTACTGAATTCATTTATTCTAACAGTTTTTGGTCACGTTTTCTACATATGGTATCATGTCATCTGCAAACAGTGACAAGTTTAACTTGTTTCTTACCAGTTTGGATGACATTTATTTCTTGTCTGACTGCTGTGCCTAATTCTTCTAGCACTATAGTGCATAAAATTGGCAAGAACAAGACATTTTTGTCTTGTTACTGATCTTAAAGCTCTATTTTTATCCACTGATTATGATTTTAGCTATACATGTGTCATATCTGGTCTTAATCATATTGAGGTATGTTCCCTCCACACCCACTTTGAAAGTTTTTATTATGAATGGATGTTGAATTTTATCAAATGCTTTTTTCTGCAGCTATCTGCAGAACTGTATGATTTTTATCCATTGTTTTTATTTAAAATGGTATATCATGTTGAATGATTTGTAAATACTGGATTGCTTTGATATCCTGGAATAAATCCATGATCAGTGATCATGGTGAATAATTTTTTAAAATATTTTGTTGAATGAAGTTTGCTAATATTTTATTGAGGATTTTTTGCATCTATGTTCATGATGGATAGTGGTCTGTAGTTTTCTTTTCTTGCAGTGTCTTTGTCTGGTTTTGGTAGCAAGGTAATACTGACCTCGCAGAATGTATCTGAAAGCCTTCCTTCCTCTTCTATTTTTTGGAAGTTTGATAGAAATAGGTATTAACTTTTCTTTAAATATTTGGTGAGAATTCACCTGTGAATTCACCTGTCCCCGGACTTCGTACGTTGAGAGTTTTTAAATTTTGTTACTGGTCATCAGTCTATTTAGATTTTCTACTTCTTCCTGATTCAGTGTTAGAAGACTATATGTTTCTAGGAATTTATCCATTTCTTCTAGGTTGTCCAATTTGTAGGCATATAATTTTTCATACTAGCCTCCTACAATCCTTTGTATTTCCACAGTGTCAGTTGATACTTCTCTTATATTCCTGATTTAACTTTTTAGGTCCTTACTCTTTTTCTTGATGTGTCTGGCTACAGATTTATCAAATTTATTTATGTTTTTCAAAGAGCCAGTTCTTGGTTCACTGATCTTTTTGTTTTTGTTTTAGTCTCTATTTCATTTACTTTTGCTCAGATCTTTAATACTTTCTTCATTCTACTGGCTTTGGTTTTGTTTGTTCTTCTTTTCCTAGTTCTCTTAGGTATATTATCTATTTGAGATTTTCCTCATTTCATGAAGTAGGTCTTTATCACTATAAATTTCCCTCTTAAACCTGCTTTTGCTACATCTCAAAGATTTTGGAACATTGTGTTTTCAGTTGCCTCTCTGTATTTACTTCCTCTTAGATTTCTTTGTTGACCTCTTGGTTGTTTCATAGCATGTTGTTTAGCTTCCATGTTTGTGTTTTTTTCATATTCTTTTGTTGTGATTGATTTCTAGCTTACCATTGTGGCTAGAAATAAATGCATGATATGAATTCAATCTTTTTTTAAAAAATAGTTTATTGTCAAGTTGGTTTCCATAAAGCACCCAGTGCTCATCCCCACAAGTGCCCTCCTCCATGCCCATCAAACCCCTTCCCCTCCCCCCACCCCCATCAGCCCTCAGTTTGTTCTCAACATTCGAGAGTCTCTCATGGTTTGCCTCACTCCCTCTCCCCAACTATTTTTCCCCTTCTTCTCCCACACGGTCCTCCATTAAGTTCCTTCTAATCCACCTATATGTACAAACATATGGTATTTGTTCTTCTCTGCCTGACTTATTTCGCTCAGCATAACACCCTAAATTCCATCCATGTTGCTACACATGGCCAGATTTCATTCTTTCTCATTGCCATGTAGTATTCCATCATATAGATAAACCACATCTTCTTGATCCATTCGTCAGTTGATGGACACTTAGGCTCTTTCCATGTTTTAGCTATTGTTGAGAGTGATGCTATGAACAATGGGGTACATGTGAACCTATGCATCAGCACTCCTGTATCCCTTGGGTAAATTCCAAGCAATGCTATTGCTGGGTCATAGGGGAGTTCTATTGTTAATTTTTTGAGGAACCTCCACACTGTTTTCCAGAGGGGCTGTACCAGTTTACATTCCCACCAACGGTGTAAGAGGGTGCCCATTTCTCCACATCCTCGCCTGCATCTAGAGTCCTCTGATTTGTTCATTTTAGCCACTCTGACTAGCGTGAGGTGGTATCTCAGTGTGGTTTTGATTTGTATTTCACTCATGAGGAGGGATGCTGAGCATTGTTTTAATGTATATTTTTGAGACAGACAGAATGCGAGCAGGGGAGGGGTAGAGAGAAAGGGAGACACAGAATCCGAACAAGCTCTAGACTCCGAGCTGTCAGCACAGAGCTTGATGTAGGGCTCAAACTCACAGACTGTGAGATCATGACCAGAGCCAAAGTCGGATGCTTAACTGACTGGGCCAACCAAACACCTCAAGAGGATTGTTTTCTTAATATCTTTTACTGCTACATCTTTATTAGTGTATAGAAATGTGACCATT